AAAGTGTCCAAAGAAGCAAAAAAGGGGAGATCCTCACAGTAGAGGATCATACGTAGGAGACCACAACACTTCTGTACCAGGTATACTCTATACCTAGTGTAGAAAGGTGTTGAAAACATGGGCAGAAAATGGGAGGAGCACATCCAAAAAGGGAGAGAAAATTGGTTGGATAGGGATCCAAACCACCTGATATTGGAATGTTAATCCCTTTGATGATAGTAAAAGGGATGCGCCCTAAGGTGTAGAGTGGCTAGAGCACGACGGATTGTACACAGTAAGTCAAATGCATCCTAAACCCAGCCACCAAGAACTGATATCCAAGTGGACATAGGATAAGGATCATACCATAGGTAAGTCAACTACATTCCAAATCCTAGCCACCGGGAACCAACATCCATATGGGGGTATGAAAGAGGATCATGCCATTGGCAAGTCAACTGCAATCCAAAACCTAACCATCTGGTGGGGGTAGGAAAAAGTATCATATCATCTTCAACTCAAGTTCAGCAGAAGGAGATGTCATACCCACTGATCTGTGAATAGGGCACATGATAGAAAATGAGAAAATACTGTACCAATCCGAGAACCCAAGATCCAGTTGATCAGAATAATAAAGATGTCCCAGTATTATGAAATACCCACTCAAAACCAATCAGACAGGAACCACTCCAACACAGTAAAATCCTTGGTATATGAAAATCTTCAAGGGATAGAGCAAGAGGAAGAGCTGTAGTAACCTGCATTTTCATCCACTGTAACCCACAACATGGTAGCAGTGAACACATGTCCAACTGAGTAAGAGAACTGAAACACCTGTAATACATTTGTGAGAAATTATGTTGATTGATCCAGCTCTGATTCATAAATCCAGCCACTGGGACAGGACATCCATGTGGGGATAGAATGAGAGATCCCAATCGAAGGGGTAAACTACAGTTTTGATGACTCACTCCAAAGCTACGACACCCCCTTGGATAAACACGTTCAGAAATGGAGCTTCAGATTCGAGGACATCTTGTCATCTACACCAGCAGAACACCATCGCCTTATTCTCAACTGAATGAGTTCATTATTGTTTGTATCACATACATACATTGATCACATTTAGGAGGATGCCTCCATAGTCCACCAACCAAGTAACTTGGAACTGGAAAGTAGTACAGACTCCCATACTCCACATCCAAATAAAACTGTTGACATAAGTTTAAATATATATTAGTAAAAAGTGGTTCCAATTAATGTGTAACTATTCAATAACTAATGATTCTTGCTTTTTTAACCAAACCAAAAATTTTAAGATGGACATCAGACCAAAAACAATGCAATAAATACAAGTTTTGGGCTGCGTCACAACCAATGCTGTCACTGCCCTACAAAAATCTGATGGCACCTTAACTGTTGATAAGTACAAGCAGATTCTGATTCATCATGTAATTCCCTCAGAAACATTAGTAATCTTGCATGGATTCACCTTCCAGCAAATAAATGATTCTAAGATACAATCCTGACTCAAGGACCTGTAGTGCCCAAGGATCCACGGTTAAGGCTACCACACATCCAGAAATTCTTGGAGCCAAGCCTCCACAGACCCTGAAGGCATACAATAAATATGACACTGCTGGTGGTATTCCAACCGAGCAGTGGAACCCTTGGATGTGGACAGAATCTATTCTGGGTGCCAATGTTTCCCGAGAGGCTAATGTCAGGGTTTGGGACCCTCGAATAGGGGCAGAGCTATGACCCCCTGTAGGAGCCAATGAAAATTGAGATGGAAACAACAAAAGAGATGTATATAGAAGCTGACAGTCAAACCAATGTGTAAGCTAACAATGGTTCCAGCACATCATCAATGAAGCTGGTGATCCTGGGAGTCTTCCAATAAAGTTCAGTGTTAGGAAAACAACATGTTGGATGTGAGAGTTTTAAGTCCATAGACTTACCACTGTCCCCCCCCCCCCATGGAACATTGATCTATTCAGATTAACTACAAACTCTGCCTTAGAGCCACTAATTTCAAGGAGAAGATG